GTGTATGTTCACATATATATATATATATACATACATATGTGGGGGCACACAACAGACAATTAGATATACACATGTACATATATATATATATGTTTGTTTATACAGAGACATATCCTCATGTCTTCATATGCTTGTGTGTGTGTCTGTATACAGACGCATAAGCATGTAAAAGCATGGATGGCCATAACGGAAACTTCGCACATGCACTTGTACATGCTTAGTTTTGTTTTTGTATGTATACATGTATTCTCTCTCTCTCTCTCTTTCCCTATACAGTCAATCAATAGATATCTATGTATATATATATATATGTATGTATATATATATACACACATACACACATACACACCTGTCTACACGCATGCATGCATGCATGCATGTAAGTATGCATGTATGTATGTCTGTACGTATGTATACACACGTTTACACACGTACAACTTGAGCTCAGGTGTGCATAGGCATGAGCATACCACGCATATTTCGGCACACCCGGCATGTGCGTATCACAAGGCAACATATGGTAGACGAAAGTATCGCGCGGCGCTCGACAACAGAACTCAGGCCTTGTTGAGGCTTCGGATGCAGTGAAGCAGCCGCTTGGCAGAAGACAGCCTTTTTCGGCATGATTGTCATCTGAACCAACGATGAAGCGCCTGTGGTTTCGACGGTGTCCACTGATTCAAGCTTGGTGTGGCTTCACCGGGTATCGGCTCATCGAGCAAGCAAGCGTGTGAGGCCTTTATGGCGAGTTACCCAGGAGTGGCTCCGGTTGATTACGACTCCGGCTTGGGCCAAGGTAGTAGAGTCTTAATACCAACCCTGCCCCAGCACTGAACCGCGGGACCGACGCTGTCGGCTTGTCTTCAGGCTGTTCAAGTATTGCTTCGACCCCATTGTGGGCGGCCATGGTAAGCGCACTTTCAACAAGCGAAAGGGGCTCTGCGCGCTGCTCATCTGGGCATTGCAGCTTGTCTGCCGCAATGTGTTCACATGCGTAAGTACCTGTGGAGACGTAAGTTCTAGTTCAGAGGAGCTATTTCGTGGAAGTTTTGATTGACGTATGATTTGCACCTCCGATTTCAAGGAAGAGGAAGCAATTTCAATCAAGTACAGCTCGATACGTGACACACATACACATATCCAAAGAAGAAGGCTGTCTGTTTGTGGAGTCGTTACCGGGAATCTATTTCAGACGGCAGTGCCAAATGTCTAATTGGCTCCAAGCCTGGCAACCCACCACGAGCTGCACCCTATACCTACTTGTAGTTTCCAGGAACCTTCAGCTTAGAGGATCTTTACTGTTTGTAGCTGTTCTCTGAGTCCGCGAGAGAGAGTCAGAGAGAGGGAGAGAGCTGTTTTGTAAGGTGTTGTTTAAAAGGTTAGGTATGTGCAGCAAACACACGGACAAGTTGAAACCACCCAGGCGCGCGAATATACCATCACGGCAGTCGAGGCAAAATCAGACGTGAACCGTAAACCATCGCTTCCGTGGTTGCAGTCGCGGAGAGACTTCGCGACAAGAGTGCTAATATTCGCAAGTCATGTCCACCCTTGAACAACCACTTTGTTTTTCATGCTTTGGTTGTCTCAACTTGATTTCCAATCTTTTTGGTCGTTCGAGTTTTGTCGCCGTTGTTTGTTGTTTTGCTTATGTGTTCGGTGTACTGAGTTCCCTTCGGTCTTCTCGAGTGTTTCACTGGAATGGCTTGGCCCTTGCACAACCATTCTAGCAGCGGCGTCTCGCAGCAAGAACATGCGGATTGCAGCGGTCCTGCCATGAAGCTAAATTACGCGAAGCTCGAGGCTCTGACAATCAGCGCACACAGATGCAAACGGACAAATGTAGATGCAGACCAACAGACAGAGACAGACAGACAGACAGACTGACTGACTGACTGACTGACTGACAGACAGACAGACTGAGACACAGACAGACAGACAGAGAGACAGATCAAGACATGTTAACGCATCTCAACACAGGTGCTGTCAACGCGAGCACACACACCCACAGACGCATGTGTGTTTACATACGTCAATGCGGTCGTTTGTGGATGCAACTCTCTGGCGTTGCATAGCATCATTCTTGCCATGATCAATTTAACAACACTTGCTGGTCATGAGGACTGATAGTGTTGTCGCTTTTAAGGCAATTCAGACTTTTTGCAGGCATGCCTAGCAGTGCCCCATTCGAGGCGAGGCCAACTCATAAAGTCGAAGAGGGATTTTGTAAAAACCCTCGTTGAAAGTCGAAGCAGAACTGGGCCAAGGCATCTTACGCCTGGTCTCTGGATTGATGTCACCAGCCAGGGTGCTGCCGAGTTGGCGAGTGAAAAAAACGCCCAAGTTGTCGGAAGGCGGGAACGGTGCTCATGTCTGTGTGTACTCTGTCACTCTCAGGGTACTCTCCGGATTTATGGTGCGCCCTTCGAGGTACATTGGCTGCAAAGTAGAGCCCAAGAAGGAGACTGATGGAACATCAAGTCTCCGTGCCCCTGGGACGAAGCCCTCCTGCTTTCTATCTAGTACGAAGGTACCAGTCAGAGCCTTCTGTGCTGAGCCGCGGTGGTGTGAGTGGGCGACTGAGGTGATTCTGAAAGGCCCTCCCAATTTCGATGAGCGTGCGGCTGCGAAGGGAGTCGGGCGAGGAGCTAGAAAGAAGAGATGATAAAGCCGAGGCCACGCTGCAAATCATCACCGCTAGCCTACTAATATTGCCGCGACTATCATTACTCTCCCTCTTATTGTTACTCTTGAAATCGCAACAATGTCTCTATTTCTACTGTTATTGCTGTGGCGAGTACCATCACTAATACAAGTACTATTGCTGCTGCTGCCACTGGCTTGCTCATCGTCCTCAGTCGCCACCTCTCCCACCATCAGCGTTTTTAAGTTTACACCCAGCCTTAGAGCCACCACCACCATGAAGTGCAGTCCACTGCGCAATCAGCATTGCGTCACAAATTCGCACCATCACCATCATCATCACTAGCACCGCTGCTGAAAGCATGATCCCTGTCGCTGCGTCATCATCACTACCATCATTCTAGTTTGCGGGTTTTCATGCGTTTGAATTCCAGAAGATTGCAGAAGGCAGAAGCAACAGATAAGCATATGCAATGGGGACATGGCCAGTCACTACTTTCTAGCAGTTGATCGCTAGGGCGACTGAGACTTAGATTTGCTCCTGGTCCTGACATAGTAGTCTGGCTGCCAAAGTTGTGCTGGCCAGAGCGTCGAAACCATGAGCTGTTTCACCCCATCTTGGCGCACGTGGCAAGGCATAAAACGATCTGCCAGTTGGTTTTCGGCATTTCCAGTCTTGATGTGTTGTTCAATCTGTTCAATCTTGCCAATGTTCTTCTGTCGCTTTGGCTAAGGACCTCTGTGCTGCCGCGAGGCACTTGGGCTACGTCGGTGTGAATCACGAAGTAGATGGCTTAGAGTCAAGCGGCCTGCCCGGTGAAGCCATCCGCATCTGAAAGCAGAAGTGTTCGCACGACAAATTGAGGCATCAATTCAAGTCGCGAGCCAGCTGTGAGAAACCCAGAGTAGCTTCGGGTTCACGCCTTCCTCGTGGTACCTCGGCTAGATGGCATAGCCCAAGGTCAGAATATCATACTCTGGACCTGGAAGAGTTCGTGGTTTTCTTGGAACAGTATACCATGCAAGAGCAGGCCGTGCCGAATTGAACATGGCGGTGTTAAGGAGCATGAAGCGCGTCCGGCATCCTGTCGGTTGCATGTGTAGGCGGAGATAGAAAGAATATTCGCCAACTATGCTGGCAAGTTCTCACAGAAGGCCGGTGGATTCAAAGATTTGTGATCAAGAGCGAATCCAAAGCTTTCAGGTTCCTCTGCGGGCTGTACCTGCAATTGCCCACGACCTTGGCGCAGTCCCTATACCAGTCGGTAGATGGACGGTGAAAATATGTAGTCAGATCAATCTACAGCAACAGCTCTTGTATAATGACCCAGTCCCGTACAGTAACGTTTCGGCTTCCCTAGCACATCGCGTCGGCTTCTTCGAAGTCCATCTGCTTTGGGGGGGGGCTCTCATCAAAACCGCAAAAGCCGCTCTTACAGAAAAGGCGTAGGCTTAGGAGAGCCCGGGGCCATAGTTTGATGCCGGATCCACTCCGTCCCGGCAGATTTTCAACGGGGCAGCTTCATGACCCGGATCTCAGGTCTTACGTCCTTGCAGGCAGCTATTTCCGAGTCCTTGGACGCAGCTCAACTGTCCTCTCACAAGGCTTGCAGCAGTCTTTGTGCTGCACATTTCCCGGGCTTTGGACTTGACGCAAGTCCCTGCGTGCAGGCGCTGTCAGTGAACCAGCTGCGGGCATTCTTGGCGGCCCACCTATCCGCGGAAGGCAGCAACAACTCCAGAAATGCTTCAAGTATAGAAGGCTGCAACGTGCTGAAGGGGAGTCTTCCCCAACAAGACGAGTGATCGGTGCAGAAGATCTGTGTTCGCACATACATAGCGGTGTATTCTTTGTGCAGCACAAGTTGACAGCTCCAGCACGAGACCTGAGCTCAGCCTGAAGGTTACACCAAGGAGGAGCGCGACCGTGCGCGTCAGGCCTTTGACCAGGTGCGTGAAGGCGGGGCTTCTCATGACAGCAGCCATCGTTTCAGAACAGCAGAACAACGGTGGTGCGGCAAGTGCTAGCCGGCTTCGTGGGAAGGCTTGGCAGTTAACCGTTAACCTGCTGAAGCGAATTGCTGCTAATGACTCTGTTGGTGTCCATGGGGCATGCAGTCTTGCAATGCACCAGGAAAGTCCGATCTCCCGCCGCGCAGTGTGGGCGATGCTATGGTCCTCCTTTGCTCGGCTTGCAAGATTGGCGGTTCGGCTTGTGCAGTTGCTCACTTGCCAGGCTCTTTTTCGAGGGGCAGATGCTCGCCAAGAGTGGGACGACATATGGCACAGGCATGTGAAGCTTGCGATGAGAGGCATTGAGCAATCTCTCGGTGACCCTTCATGCAAATCGCGAGAAGCAGCGAGTGAGGAATCATTGTGGCTTGAACTCATGCAGTTGGACGTTGGAATGACCTGAAACTTGTTCGGACAAACAGATCCCAGCAGTCGGTACAGAATCTAGAGTCGAGTATAGCCTGTGACAAAAGACGTGTCCAGCCGTTGCTCATGGCTTTTCTGCAAGCGTTGCCTGGCGAGCTTCTCACCATCCCGGAGGACTTGCGACTTAGTTCGACTGCGACAAGACTTGAGAGTAGTGCCAGAATTCCATGTGTCATTGGCCTGTGACGATGATGATGATGATGATGATGATGAGGACGATGATGATGATGGAAGACGCCACCGCCGACGAAGGTGGCTATGTGCCAAGGCTGGCAGGAGTGCAACAAGGATTGGGAGGAGGAGCAGCGGCGCTGCTAGCCGAAGAAGTTGCAATCGGGTAAGTGCCACCACGGTACACTTACTTCTCCCGTCCGCTGCCTGTAGTAATGCTGCCGCTACTGCTGCAAATGCTGCAGGTGCTGCTGTTAAATGGCAATGATGATGAACGATAGTAGTGCAAGGAAGAAGCCCGGCAGTAACAGTGCCAATGATAGCGCTCACTACAACCGCCGGAGCAGAGCTTATCTTGAGAAGGGTCATAGCATGAGAAAGTGCTAACTGCAAACAAATGATGACAGTCGTGTTTGTGACTATGCTGGGGATGACTGCTGTGCTCAATCTAGTGCTGAAAATGGTGGCGGCTGAAGAAGAGCAGCTACCTGGTTAATGATAATCAGACCGCAACCGCAACGTTGCAGGGTTAAAACATTGATAGATGCATGATGTAAACATTGGGCGATAGCACCGCAGCATGATGCATGGTGTATCCTACTATGATCAGAAGGAGAAGGGCAATTGCTAGTACGCAGAAGCATATAGTAGAGCATCATTGGTGGTATCTTTAGCTAGATATCGGCAACAGAAATGCAAGAGCAAGAAGAGAAATCAACAGCGCCAGCAGCCTCCCTCATCACTATCAGCCACATCAGCAACAATACGAATGCTAAGAACAGCAAAGCGACTTCCCCCCCGGATCGCTCCGCGTAGCCCTGATGGCCCAGTCGAGGATGCGATCTGTCCGATTTCCCAGCAGGTCATGGAGGCGCCTCTTTTTGCAGCTGTTTGTAGGGTTCTGGCGGCTCGCAGCTGTAGCTATGACCAGCAGGTGCCCTTGATTTCAAGAGACAGACGAGACCTCCGTTTACATTTCCACTCCCTCAGGATCCAGTGGTGTGCGCAGATGGACACTCCTACGAGAAGGACTTTATACAGAAGTGGCTTGCGAGACTTGACACGAACTTAGTGCTTCATCAGGTGCACCCGAAGCATGTCGCCTTTGCACTATCCCTCACTATCCTCGCCCTGCACCCATCTGCGCAAATCGAGGTTGGGGAAGCGCTCCAGCCCGAAGACCAACATGAGCCTGCCTCATACGACGCTCATACCCAACGTCAACTTACGCAACATCATCCAGTCCATCAGGGTGCGAATGCCGGCCATCCAGTCCGAGCAGATTAAAAGCATCAAAGAAATGCAAGACTTGGAGGCGATCGTTCGGTCACTGATGGAGGATCAGGGGAAACTGGCTGTGACGTGCATTGATCCTACTCGCTCACCGGAGTCATCACCAGCCGCATACTGTTCCTCACCGAATGCACCGAAGGCACCGAACATACCCAAGCTGCCGCCACCAGACCGTGCAAGCATGGAAGAGCCGATACCTGTTCTGCTGAGCCTCCTGCGGCACGAGTCCAAAGAAGTTAGTGAACGGGCCCTGGGTTTGATCGATGGTTTGGTGGCTGCAGACCCCCGACACAGAGATGCAGTTTGGCATCACGGCGGCATTCCACTCATTGTCAGTTTGCTTAGAGGCGGCTCTTCGGAACAGCTACAACATGCCAGCACTCTGCTGCGAACCCTCGCAAGTAGCCAAGCAGAAGCGCAGATGGCTATTACGTGGGCTGGGGCCATCCCTTTACTGGTGGAGCACCTGGACCACGACTTCAGCAAGGTGCGTGTGGAGTCTGCCAAAGCTTTGTGGAGTCTGGCGCAAGGCAACATGGACAACGAGACATCCATTGTGGAGCATGGGGGCATCAAGCGTCTCGTGGTACTTTTATCCGGAGGTGCCGCAGATGCCCGGGACTCTGTCCTACATCTGCTTCTGAATTTAGCTTCGCACGACCCACTGCACCAGGACGATATTGATGGTCAGACTGTAAGCCTTCGTCAGTTTGGGTCGGTCTGGGTTGGGTGGTGATAGCTGAAATTCAAGCCTTACAAGAGTTCGTTCATCATCCTGCAAGGTCAGAAGAGGAGTACACAAAAGCCAACTCGCAATGCGAGTTGCTTCAGCCGCCTGCATTGCACCGGCAGGACAACATTACCCGTGCAGGGGCCATCCCACCTCTGACGGAGCTGCTAAACGATGGGAACCTGCGGCAGCTGGCAGCAGCGGTTCTGAAGTCCTTGGCACGAGACCATGAAGACAACCAATCAGCCTCCTGTCCTTACGCAGGGCTTAGGACTAAGACTTGCGATTGTGGTGTTATGAGCGTGCTTCGGAAGCTGTCTCGCACTGCAACGCACATGTCAGAAGCTGGGCACACACGCTCGTCTCCATGTTCTTCTCCTTTGCACGTAGACCCCCAGCGGTCAGCAAGGCAGGTGCTAATCACCACCAAGCCCGAAGCTGCAGTGCGGTCAGTCCACGATGCTTTCGAGGCAATCGGTGCTACTAGCGGCACCATTCAGAAGTTGAGCCTTGACGCGACGAACTCGAAGACCTCAATCTACTTTTGCAAGTTTGTCTGTGCCTTGCGTTCTTCAGTGCTACATGCCATATGGGCCGCGTGATTTTTGTAGGGTGCTAGTGCATCCTGTCGATTTGAGTGCATCCTGGTTCGCAAAAGTAAAAACGGCATGTTGGCAAGAGCCGGAGTCCGACTTCAGGATTCAGCTCCTTTCGGACGAGTCAGCAGCTATGCGCGAATCGGCGGCCGGTGTGCTCCATGTCCTCGTTGCAGGTGGGTCGCAAAAACTGCCGGCACGAGTTCATGATGAGATCAGTTCGGCGTGGTAGCCCCCTGCAATTATGTTGGGCGTTGGGCAGGCGGCCACGCCAAGAACGTGGCAACTGTGTCTCGAAGTGGCGGCATCCGGCCCTGTGCCTTGGCAGAGCGCAGCCTGAAAGACAAGAGCGCTTGAAGCCCGACACCTCCCAGGCCAAACTCTTGTGTAACCCTTGAAACGCTGAGTTCCAATCCACACTGAGAGACACGGTCTCAAACTCCTTGGCAGCCTTCCAGCTCTTTCCATAGAAAACCCCTTTCAAGGAGTCGGAATTTCCGAAAGTGAGGCTACAACTACTGCAACAGCCGCCTCAAGCCTGCCAGAAGTCCAGGCATGGAGCTCCTCAAGGACGAGAATGCGGGAGCCCGCGAGGATGCCGCAGGCGTGAAGTCCGGGCTTGGGGGCTTCAGGGTTTGGGCCGAGTCCTGGGGCGTTGGGTTCGCCGCTTGTGGAGCTTGGATCCCAATTGCCGTATTCAAACGCCCGAACTCAGCCCACAGCTCGCTGCAGCTTCGTTCGAGCGCCTGATATGTATGTATATATGTATGCATATAAGACTTGGTAACTGACATGCACGTCCTCGTCCGACGCTAGTCACTAGTCAGTGATGCGCATCGCAACGCGATGCCCTAAAACTCAAGCCTTTGGGTCCTTTCGCAACTTCTGAGCCGAGCCCTAAGCCGATCCAGGGGTCCTTGCCGCTCTGGCAAAAAATGCCGACAATCGCGTTCACATGGCGGACCTTGGGGCGATACCATTGCTCATTGAGCTACCGGGCTTGCATTAACCCCTTCTTGACCACAAGTTCTTGCACCATCAAGCTTCAGGTTACAAAGCTTTCGCAAGTCGTGGGCAGCACATGTAAATCCTTGCATTGTTGGCTCCTGACCAGGCTTGTGCAAGACCACGTCGGAGCGGCTGCAGCTGCCCGCCCCTCGAATGCATCCTCAGATAGAATCCCGGAGACAAAAACCGATTCTTACAAGGGGGATGGACCGTAGGACTGTGATCTTGCCATGGGGTGCCCTCCATTTTCTGTTGACTGTCCCAACTGCCAGGCAAGTATGCTGCGACTGCTCTGGGCGAGCTGGCAGTCCGCAACTCTAAAAACAAGGAGGTCATTGGCAAGACAGGCGGCATTGAGGCGCTGGTGGAGCTACTCAAAGATGGCCACACGGCTGGAAGGAATCGAACACATGCTTTGGATTCTTTTTGTCCGTGCGATTTTGGTGGCTGAGGTGACCACCAAGCGCGAGGGAGAGCAGCATCTGCGCTGTCGGAACTCTGCCAGCTCAGCGACCACAACAAGCTGTCCATGGTCGGGGCAGGTGCCATACCGCTGTACCTTGCCTGACATTGACTTGTCATGAAAGCTAGCTCTGCGAACCTTGCGGGACTTGTCGTTTACCACTTCATCTCGGTAGTAGTGACCCAGGTCAACCGCGCTTAGGAACTTATTCGGTGGCCCAACAACACATAAGCACGCAAGTGATTGATTTCGAGCCGCTGCAGGGACTCCACACGCACACGGTGACTGCACCATTGTATAAGGGGGCCCACCCCTTAAGGCCTCCCGAGCCGGCGGCTTTCCGGAGCTTGCCCGAAGTGTTTGCGAACTGAGGCTGGTCGAGCTGCTGCGGGAAGACTCGACGAAGAAGCCGGCGAAAGCCGTGCTCGCAAGCCTTGCGGGTGAACTCGAGGCCTTGATGATGAGCTTATGACGGCAACTTTTGAGGAATGTCAGCTGTAACATCCATGAGAGTGCATGCTGCGGTGACCTGGTGCAGGCCAACAAGAAAGCGATTCAAGAAGCGGCTTCGGCCGCGAAGGTTGACCTGATAGTTGCAGGTCTAAAGCTGTGACGGTGTCATCCAGGCGAGGTTCCGCACTTCCATTCCTTTCGTCTCGATAGAAGCAGCTCCCTAACAAATATTCCGGAGGGCTGATTTCCCTGCAGAACTAATGCTCCGTTCTCGGTTTGCAAAGCCGGTGCCAAGAGGAAAAGCATTTGGCAATTGCGGATGCAGTGTAGGGTTTGATCGCTGTTCTGCATGTTCAGAGTGGCAGAACTGCACTGCCGATGTATCATCCCGACCTTACATCGTTACACTTACTTGGCCCTATTGTTCGTGGCCGAGTGATTCGTGGGCCCCAGAGTGTTCATCCAGGGAGCATGCCTTGTTCATGACTGCCTCTTGTGGACGCAGGCAGCGCAAAGTCAAGAAGTTGGCCGTCCATCATCCGCTGCCTGAAGTGTGCCTCCCCTAAACGAAGACGAGCTGCCTCTCGAGCAGCCAAAGGTGCTGTTCGATAGAGGCTTTCTGCGTCGATCGGGAGCTCCACTGTGCTCGTTTCTGAACATCTTAGTAGCCTCAATCGTCGTTCATGTGGTCCATCGCACACTCTGTATAACTGTAGCAGGAAGAGCCCTCCGTCCCTTTACCAGTCGGAAAACCACGTAGAGCTCCCGATGGGACGGCTGAAGCTATGTAAGGTACAACTGCCCACGCTTCGCTTGTACATAACAAACTCTGAACTCCTCGCTCGGGTCTTATGTTGACCATGCACGGCCAAAGCTTAAGGGGAAAAGCAAGGGGCAGCCCTGAAGCTTGGAATCAATGCCATGAGTCCTGAAAGTGGTGGGCGCATGCCCTTAAAAGATGTGCCCACGGGCCTGGCAGAACCCGATAACGCCCAAGCCCACAGCCTGAAGCTCCGAACAAGAAGATTCTAAGGTCCTTCGACAAGAGGCGAAGAATGCCTGATCCGCCCTCAAACCCCAAACCCGCAGCCCTCAAACCCCAAGGAACCCCAAATCTTGGACGAAAGCCAGGCTGGGCTGCCATGTCTCCAGCTCGCAAGACGAGGGCGAGCCGTTTCAGGTCCCCGAAACGGGGGGAACTGCTGCGGCAAAGAGGCATTAGGAGCTAAATGCATACTGTAGGAGCCTCAAGAAGTACCTATACTATTTTGGGGGTTCCTTGTTACAGTGAAAGTATAGAAGATCCCCAAGGCTTTTTCTTCTATAGTCTAATTATTAAGGCCCCTACACTAGCCTCATTAGCCGTTAACCGTCTTTATAACAAGAGCTCTAGGCTATCATGTCAACTTCAAGCACTTTGCCAGGTGGACGAGTCCCGGTCAGGGCCATCGGTGGACTTCCACGAGTTTCTCGTTTGGGCGCCGGACTCTGTGCGAAGACGGGTGAGGATTTGAGGCTTAGACTTAGGGGTGTTGGGGCTCAAGCTGTTGGAGCTTGTCACTCAGGGCCGGGGGGGATGCCTTCCCCAATGGCCTAGTGGAAGATGCTGCTTGCAACAGCAGATCTTGACGGCGATCAGCGCGACTCAACTCACTCTGCCCACCCTAGGGATCCTAGGGTTTGGTCTAGATGCCTATGGAGCCTGGCCTAGGGCCAGGCCCAGCAGAGGAAGAAGAAGAAGGAGAGGGCGTACCTCGCGCAGAGAGACATTGGAATATGCCTATCTATGTGCCTATGCATGAATACATGGGTTTGGCCGCAGAATGATGGAAACAACAAGCGCATTGAGACACAGATGCCTGAAAGCAGGAAACAGAGGTCGGAACCTCGAAGCCCAGCAAGCTATGTGGGCAAGGGCTGACATGTTAGCTGGCCGCATGCACGAAGCCCGAACCGAGAACCCGAAACCTAAGCTTCTAAGGTCCCTGATCATTGCGAAATCCATGATGCCAGTTGCAGTAGCCATGTCGGTGTCAAGGTTTAGGATTCGGTTTTTGGAACCCCTAAACCCCAAACCCCTAAACCCTTTGTACATCTAAATCTTTTGGCTAAGGATCCAGGCGTCGCTCTCGCTCGGATTGTCTGCTGACTGCTTGCATAAACCCCTTAAACCCTTAAACCCTCGCCTAGGCTCGTCCGAGAGTGAGTGCTGGAACCCTTAAACCCCTTTTTTTGAACCCAGTCTCTGATCATCAGCTACCCTTAAACCCCTAAACCCTAAACCCCGTAAACCTATTTCGCAAAGAGGGACTCGGGGTTTCTCAAGCCTCGAGCGATCTCCGAAGGCCCGGCGCCTCGAAGTGCAGGACCGGGCTAGAGCGCCCAGACATCCCAATACCCCTGAAAAAAGGAATATACCTTAAGTTATAGGTATATTAATTAAGGAATATACCTTAAGTTATAGGAGGCATACTATGATGGCTTAGGGTATATTCCGCAATTGAGGAATATACCTTAAACTATATGGGTGCAGAATAGTATGGCTTAAGGTACATTCCTTTCATTAGGGGGTATTGGGATCTCTGGGCACCAGAACGGGGAGTTTCTAAAGGATTGGGCTCATAGCAAGAACGGAACTACGACAGTGCTTGTTGGGCATCTCCGTGGGAGAATTCTCGTGCCGAGCTACGGTGCTCGGTTGGGAAGGAGTTGTCACCGCTCCGAGACGGTTTCTACCGAGTTGACAAAGACGCCGACGGCATGGTGTCTGCAGGCACGAGACTCTCTCTGGTATGTGTCTGCGTAGCTGACTGGCGCTGAAGGTAAGATCACCCTTGAGCAGACATGTCGCAGGAGAGTTCCTTGACATGATCCCTTCAGAGCTGACGCGACCTGAGACTCGATTCGGCGTCTTCCTGGAAGTCTCGGACGAGATGCCTTATCCATTCACTGCGTGTTGTCTTAAAGTCCGGGCATGTCCCAGGTCCTTGGTTTTCAGTGCGAAGCTTTCACAGATCCTGAAGGAAGCGGGCGGCCGAGTACCGACTCCAATTTTGAGTTCCTTGCAAGCCGTGCTCCTTTGCAAAGTGGAAGCATGTGGTGTACCACGAGTCCCTGTCTCTCTGAGGGTGGCGTGGCACCAGGGCAGTTGCTGAGCTTCGATGATGCCGTCCGGGTTCTGCGGAATATACGCCAGGGTCCCCAAGACGCGTCGATCACGCGAAGCTGTGAAGTGCTCCGCAATTGCTGGGGCTGCAACTGCAGGTAGCACGGGCAATCAGACCAAGCAGGAGATCAAAGAGTTCGAGGAGGCTGTCGGAGTTGTTTGCAGATTGGCAGTGTCGACAGTGTCACAGCACATCCGATGAAACGCGACCTGAATCTGCAGGTTTTCAAGCTGTTCGACTCGGATAATTCCGGCAAGATGGATGTTACGGAGATGGTGGACGTGCGCACACCCCAGTACGCACGGTTCGAAAAATAGCAGCATCAAGAATGAGAGTGGCAATTGTGCGACAGTGCCATCCAGCGCAGTGCTTGCAAGAGCATCACCGGTAGCGAAACCTTCACGCGAGGCCTCACTTCCAGTTTTTCGACACGAACGGGGTCAAGTTGCCCTCACCAGAACTGTCTAAGATGTGGGGACGTGGGCGCGTTGATTAAGCCAACGGAAACTAGCAAAGATGAAGCACGATCCCGCGACGACGGATGACGTGACGATGCCGAGGGTCATGTCGACAAAGCTAAGGATGCTACTGCGATCGCTGCTGCTCCTGATGATGATAGATATGATGACTACTTTGCACACATCAAAGACACGTGCGTTTTCCACATGCGGCAAGCAGTTGAGGCGGTGGGCAGAGTTTCTTTGACACTGCTGAGGTTGATGTATCTGGGCTACAATAGCACGCTGGAGACAACACAGGAGCAGCTTGGACCAACTTTCCTCAGATGCTTTCTCTGCGGCTTCGCCAAACCGAGTTCTCATTGCCGCAGCTGGCTCTGCAGGCCTGAGTGACGGGCCGAGTCCTCATAGCCAAGGTGCATCATTTTAAGAACAGTCCGTTGTGACTACATAGTCTCAAGAGGACACAGTCACTAGTGGCACTATACTGGACTGCTACCAGGGCCTCCAAGAACGGTTCCAGGGGTGGACCGGCCCTGGACTGTCGCTCCGGAATGGCTTCAAATGCACTCCGTGTAGATCCACAACCAGATTCCAGTTGCGAAACGACAAGTTTCAAGGCCTCTGACCCTTTGTGCCATGGCAGACTCAGAGAGCCATGGCTCCTCCCTCGAGTCCAATGCATCCTCCCTGAACCGAGCCTGGCAGCGCACGCTGGCACCGAAACGGCTGTGGGCTGACACGGTTGACACGCCGTCGCAATCGCTGTCGCAGTCGCTTTCGCAATCGCTGTCACAGTCTACTGCTTCGCCGCAGCGACTGCGAAGGGGTGAGCCGATCTCTGCGGAGCTGGTAGAGGAGGAGCTGGCACCTGACCTGTCGAGCAAACGGCCAAGGACGTCGACTTCTCACTCCACACCCTTGCCGCCAGGTCCCGTTCCCGACAACACGTCCCAAGACCAAGACCCTTCTGCAGCATCGAGCTCCGCAGCTTCCATGCAGGTGGGGCCGGTATGCATGCAGCATGTCTTTTATGGCTAAGTTTTATTTTCAGACTCCAGACATCGGGGGCTCAGGCATGTTGAGGTTTGCCTTGAGTATTGCGGGCGCACGCTTAAGCTGTTGGTTATGTCAAGAGTTGTACTTTCCCAAGGATTTGTCGCAGCTATGTGGATTCCAGGTGTGGGTATTTTGCAGCAATTGCTTTCTTGTAGGGACAGCCGTTGCGGAGTTTTAAGATCAACGCGCGTCACTGGTGTCGTTCATGGGGATGTTACGGCAGGTTGTTAGCGAATGTGACAGGAGTAGGGTGACTGGGGTGTCAAACGCAACCGCGATCTTCCTATCCGCAGACACACCGACGCCACGCACCCAAATCCGGAAAGCCTTCAATGCGCGCGTCCATGTAAGCGTCAAGCATCCGGTGCAAATCAGCGCGCTTTACAGGAATGCACTTGCTCCCACAGTGCCATCAAAGTGAAACTGCTAGCGTTGCAGTTCCTGCAACGACAGATCCAGCGAAGCAGCCACAGCTGCCAGCACATATAAGACGAGCCCCAAAACCAGCATTGTAGTTGCTGGTGTTTGTGGTTTGTTTGGTCTTCACGTGAAGCCGAGCCAAGGACAAGGTTTCGTTGATTTGAATCTTGCTACTAGTATGACTCTTATAGTTGGCGGGTGCATGGTTTACATATTATAGTCCGCGATGTATGAGCCACTTGCTCCCTGAAGGGTGCTGCATCCTCATCATCTTCTTCTGGTGCTGCAGCGGCTGGCGCTGGCAGCTCCACTTCACAGGCAGGGGGCGTAAGGTTCTGAAAGAAGTCGTCGCTGTCCGCATGATGCACTGTTGACATAAGCCTGTGACATGACGGGACAGGGCCGGGGTTTCTTGAATGATGCATTCG